CGCCCGCCCGGAGCTGAGGCCTCCCCGCCCCGCCCCGCGGCCGCGGGGTCGGAGGTCATCGGCAGCACCAACGAGACGCTGCGGGCGGGCAGACCCAAGCGGGGGCGGCCGGCGCTCAGCCTAGAAGGTCCCCTTGGAGGACTTTGCAGTCGGGCACAGGGAGCATGCGCAGACGCCAGAGGGCGCTCTCGGCCAGTGGCTGGGACTCCTGGCGAGGGGGTGGGGCGGGGCTCATCTGGGGGCGGGGCTCGTCTGGGGGCGGGGCCGAGAGGACACATGTGGGCGTTCGCAGAGCTGAAAGGAAACTCAAAGCTTAGGGGAGAGAGTCTGGAGGGACAGAGAGAAGAAGGCAGGACCAAGGTCCCAGGGGTGAGCTGAAGAGAAGGACCCCGGGGAGGGTCCACCCGGGCCTAGGGAAAAAAGGGACGAGCAACCTGAGGCGGATCTGTCCCGAACCCCACGGACAGAACTCAGGGCTGCCGGGACCCAGCGGAGTCCGCGTCCCCTGCCCTGGACCCGCAGCTGGACGGCGCCCAGAGGACCCGAGACCACGCCGCGTCCCCGCCGCCAGGTGCTCCCCGCGCAGTCCGGGAAGATGTGGGCACCGAGGACTATGCTGCCCTTGCCCGTCCCTCCTGCTCTCCCGGGAAACCTTCCGGCCCCTCAGTCTCCAGGCTCCGGGGCCACTGGGGGGAGGGGACGCGCCCCTGAGTTTGGGGTGGGGGGTTCAGCCGTCTGGCAGGGGGAAGGAAGTGGGGGAGCGGTTGGGCAGGTTAGTAGGCTGGAGGTGGAGTTAATTGAGGGGCTAGAGAGCTCATCCCAGACCTCCTCTGTGTGTCAGACAAACGACAGTTGACCTGGAGAGGGTGCCAGGCACCTTCAGGGGCTGCAGGTCACTTCTTCCTTGCTGCCTGGAGCAGGGACCGAGATGTTAGAAGAAGGGGCTGCTCCTGGCCCTGAGGGTGAACAGTCCACTCTGGCCACCTTCCACAGGAAACCTGACCTGGGGGACCGAGCAGGAAGGAAACAGGTGGGTGTGGGGCCAGGAAGGAGGAAGGGTGGTGAGGGTGCAGGCCTGGGAAGCTCCGGAATTGTTAGGGACCAAACCAGGGCTTGCCCGAGTGGGGCCAGAGGTTTGGTGATCGCCCACCTGTGCCAGCTGCTGCCAACTGGCCCAACTCTGAAGCCTCCTCCTAAAGTTTCCTGAAGCCTTCTGGTGTGATTTTGGGTGTGTTAATTAATCGGGTTCAACTGTAAAATGCGATAATGGAAACTATTTCATAGGGTTATTCAAGAATGGACCATGTTGTGTAAGATTCTAGAATAGTCTCTGGCACAGAGTATACAGAAGTTTGCTGTGATTAATTTTTCCCAAAGTGTGTGTCTCTCTGCCCAGAGCTTGGCTGTGTCCTGTCTGGTTTCTTCTGTCTTGCACTAGCCTGTGAGCTCCTGGAGTGCATAGCTCATCTCTGTCCTGCTCTGGCAGTCACTCACCTTCCCCAGGATACTGTGGTCCCACCAGGACTTGAGGGCAGGAAAACTTTAGAAACCAAGATTATCCTGTGGAATTGCACTACAGGGGCTGAGGACACAGCTCACAGCAGCATCCGCCTACCATGTGCAGGGTCCTGGGATTAATTCCCAGCACAGCAAAAGAGAGAGGAAAAAAGTGCTTCTTTTGACAGAAGCCAGAACCTTTCTGTCCTCAGGGAGCTTGTGGAATAGGGGAGGAGCTGAGAGAGATGGCAGAGAGCAACAAGAAAGAGCAGTCGTGAAATCTTGGGTTGTGAATGCCTCTGGGGAGCTCAGGGGAACCAGAACTGGTATGGGTCAGATAGGCTGCGAAGGCTCCTGGGGTGAGGGGCTCCCTAGCCAGCCCCAACCTGCAGAACTGGAAATGTGGCCTGCTATGGAGGGAGGGGTGAGGAGCAGCCTTGCTGGGACGGGTGTACAGGGGAATGGTGGCTTTCAGGGTGAAGGCTGGTGAGGTGAAGAAAGGTAGCCTCCTCAAAGTCTCACCAGAAAGGCAAAATGCCTTAGCCGTCTCTCCCTCTGGCCCGATCATGGAAGACCCCGGACTCTGAACTTCATGAACTGTAGCTAAGAGGCCCAGGCTTGACATCTGGCTCTGCCACTTACTGTTTGACCTTAGGTTTGCCATTTGTGCTCTTGGATCCTCAGTTTGGCCATCTGTAAAACAGGGACAGTGGCCCTTAAGTCCCCTGGCTGTTAGTAGGACTGAGGCAACACTGTAAAGCACTTAGCAGTGCCCAGCACACTGTGAGGCCCAGTGAATGGACGTGTTCCTACTGTTCCAGGGCAGACTTTGCCACCAGTGCTGGTGTTGAACTCTGGCTGGCCCGACCCAGAGGACAGTCCTATCTCCAGGGAGCTGGGGCCACCAGTCCACTCAGACAGTGACTCAGGCCAGCTGCCAGAGGAGGACCCCATGGATATATCTGCTCAGGTAGTAAGTGTACTGCCCTTCCTGAAACCACCGTGCCCTCTGTCCTGTGACCCGCCTCCCTTTCCCATCTGGGAAGTAGTTTGCCTTGTACCCACAAGTTCTTGTGGCCCTTTTCAGGACTTCCTGTCCCCACAACCCCCTCAAAACATGGGGCTTTGGCTTTTTTTGGCCAGGGAGGTGGTGACTGGGAATCGAACTCAGGACCTTGTGCTTGCCAGGCAGGTGCTTGTGCTACTGAGCTATATCCCTGGCAGGGCTCTGGCTTTAGACTCATTCATATGAATCCACTTTACCTCTCCTAAGGCGTCTTTGTTGTTAAAGCAAATGGAGGGGCTTTAGTTCCAGGAGAGAAGGGGGTGACTTCACATATATAGTTTGGGGGTTCCCTCCAGGTACACCACAAATGCAGAAGTCCACCTGCTGAACTTGAGCTCAGTGAGGCTCTGGGAAGGAACAGCAGAGGGGCTGAGAAGTTGCTCTAGATTGGAGGAGAGGGCAGCAATGAGAGAGGAAAGTGGAAGGGAAACCATAGCTCCTCTTCCCCTTCCGCCATCTCGTTTCAGGATCCTGCAGCTCCAAGCATGTACCCACCTCTCCCAGACAACGGCCTCTCCCCCAACTGGCCTGGGGTTTGGACCCTCCTGCAGCAGCTCCCTCCACAGGACAGCGATGTGCGCCTCCCTGTCCAGCTTCCTTCTGTCCCTCTTTACTTACAATGGGAAGGACCTTGGTCTGGGTCAGGTGACAAGGATTTTAAGGCCCAGCTCTGCCACTAGCTGGGGGACACCACCCTCAGGCCAGAGTTCTCACATCTACGTGATGGGCCCAGCAGCATCTGCTCTGCCTATCAAAGCTTACTTCTCGAGCCAATGAGAAATGGACATGGAAGGTCTGAAATCAATAATGGAATGGACAAATGTAGAGCATGGTTGCTTCATATTTATTGAGGCCCTGTGTGTCCCAGCCTAAAGGCGAACAGGGAGCATGAGAGATCATTAGAGAAAACACCTAGGCAGAAAGTGACAGGGTAGTGCTGTGGGCTATCGGGGCCTAGGGGTAGGGGGGGAGACTGAGGCAGGCTTTACTGCACCCCTCCGCTGTGTCTATGCTGTTTTCTCCTGAACTCCTACCACCTCTCCACCCAGCAGCTAAACCTTTCAGGATTTTCCAGCCATCCCTCTCTGCCTTGCCTGTGGGATTGTCCCCATCACAGCGGAGGCCTCTTTCTGCAGGAGCGCTACTGCCTGGCCCTTGGGGAGGAGGAGCTGGCCGAGCTTCGGCTCTTCTGTGCCCAGCGGAAGCAGAAGGCCCTGGGACAGGGGGTGGCCCATCTGGTACCTCCTGAACTTGAAGGACACATGTGTGAGAAGGTGTGTAGTCCCCTACCCCTTGTCCTCTCACTCCTGCCAAAGGGGCAGCTCCTGGGGCTCTGACGATTTGGCAAATATCAGGGACAAAGAGGGACCAAGTTTGGGAGTCTTGGTGGAGACCTCCGTGGCAATGGGCTTCCACTGTCCGGGAGAACAGGGTGGGGGTGTGAGGGAAGAAGCAGGGGTATGGTCAGGCTCAGACTATCCCCACCTCTGGCCCAGCAGTGCAGGCAGCAGCTGAAGCCAGGAGAAGTTGGAGTGTTCGCAGCCCCTGAGGGCGAGCAGCGCTGCTGGCACCGGCCTTGCTTTGCCTGCCAGGCCTGCGGCCAGGTCCTGATGCACCTCATCTACTTCTACCACGATGGGCGTCTCTACTGTGGCCGTCATCACGCCGAAATGCTGCGGCCTCGCTGCCCAGCTTGTGATCAGGTAGAGCCCCAAGAGGTAAGGCAGGGGGTCTGCCCAGGGGCCATTGCAGCAGCTGGCAGGCAACACCCACCTGAGCTCATCTCTCCCAGTAAGTGGGGAAGGAGGCATTAGGAACCATCTTGCTCCCTAGCTCCTGCCTTGAGCTCTGGGCATGTGGGACTTGCTGCTTTTATCTGTGCTGTCCCCCACCACAAGCAAAACCCCTCTCATTTTTTTGGTCGAGCTGGGGTTCTTGGACAGATGTTCACCTCAGAATGCCAGAAGCTCCTTGTGGTGCCTAAGCATGCTGGGAAGACCCTTAGGGTCTGCATGAGAGGTAGCGCGGAGCTCTGGGGCTAGGATTCAGGAGCAAGGCTCCGACTTCTGGCTGTACCTCCTAGCCCGGGGAACCTGGCTAAGCCAATCAGTCCTCCCTGGCTCCAAGAGCGATGGAGGTCAATGGGAACGTCTGTGGACGCGCTTCAGTGTGACCTGGTTGTGAAGCGAGGTTATCGGATGGATGAATACGGGAATGAATGAATGAACCGAAACACTCCCTGTCCCTCTCCCAGCTGATCTTCTCCCAGCGCTACACCGTGGCAGAGGGAAGGCACTGGCATGAGAACCACTTCTGCTGCCAGGACTGCGCCAGGCCCCTAGCCGGGGGCCGCTATGCCTTACCAGGGGGCAGCCCCTGCTGCCCCAGTTGTTTCGAGAGCCGCTACCCAGACGCAGGCTTGGGCCCACAGCGGGCACCGGAGGGGTGGGCGCCCCCAGGTAAGCAGAAGATGAGGATCACAGCATGGGGGGCGGCGGCTAGGGCAGGGATTGAGGGGCTTCTCCTGGTTAGGGGATCCCACCCCCGCACACCGCCCCCCACCGCGCCCATCTCTCCAGCATCTCTGACCTCCCCGCGAACCCCACACCCGCGCCTCCTGGGGGCCCGCAGCTCTCACCACGCTCCGAGGGCCTCCCGAGCCTATCCGGCTGTGCGGTCGGGCAGCGGCGCCAGACTCGCTCAAGGCGGGTGGGGACGCGGCGCCCGGGAGCAAGGGGGGCACGCACGGGGCCCGGGGACTGAAACTGGCGCTTCTGCCCCCGGCCAGGAACAGGGGCGCCCGGACCCGACCGCAGCGGAGGGAGCGCAGTGGCTCAAGTCCCCCGCGGCATCCCGGTCACCCCTAGAAGGCGAGGCCGCCGGGACCCCGGGGAGAGCGCCCCCTGCCCCACTTGCTCCTCGTCCTCGGATTCAGAACCCGAGGACTTCTTCCCAGGCCGGCGCCTTCTCCGGCCCCGGAAGATCCCGGAGGACAGCGACGCCTCGGGAAAACGCTGCTCCGTCTGCTAGCGGCGCGGCGCAGCCCGACGGCGGCGGGTGGCGGCGGAGGGGCACTCCAGACTAAACGCAATCGGGGCACCCTAGGGGAGGCGGCCAAGTGGCAAACGTCAGCGCCGCACGTCCTGTGACTTCTGGAGACTTCGGGGAGCCCCGTTCCCCGAAGCCGCGCTTCCCTGTGGGCTGGCCCACCCCCACAGGCTGCCTGCGCCGGAGCCAATGAAATGATTACTCGGCGTGGGTGACGGCTGGCGGCTGCGGAGCCGGAGGCGGACCAGAGGCAGGGCACGGGCAAGCCAGCCGCGCTCCTCCCCTCGCCGAGCTCGTGGGCGCGCAGGCGGGATTGGCCTTCTCTGCGGAGTCCCGCTCCGCCGGCAGCGGAAGTGCCGCACCGGAAGTGCGTCGTCTGGGCGCGCCACTGGGGGGCGTCGCGTGGAGCCTGCGAGGAGGTCGGAGGTGTTGGTATGGCTTCTAGCGGGGTCTCGGTTGGCGCTACCAGCGCGGCAAACGAAACCCCCGAAATTCCGGACAACGTGGGAGATTGGCTCCGGGGCGTCTACCGTTTTGCCACCGATAGGAATGACTTCCGGAGGTAACCGAGCCCGGGAGCCTGGTCCCCTGTCCCTCGCGGGGACCCCTCCCGTATCCCACTCCGTGGCGAGACTGGCGTCCCAGGGTGCGTGCCGTGCGTGTGTGGTGCCTGCAGAGTGGCCTCTTCCTGGGTTCCGGTGTGGTTAGCTGAGGTTTTTTTTTTTTTTTTTCCCTTTTGGTCTTTTTGAGACAAGGTCTCGCTATGCAGTTAAGGCTGGCCTCGAACTCACAACGATCCTCCTGCCTCAGCCTCTCGAGTGCTGGGATTACAGGCGTGCACCACCACGCCCGGCTTCTAGCTGAGGTTCTTGAACGGGAAAGTCCCCTGTGGCAAAGTCGGTGTGTCATGTGGCTTTATCTGTATAGAATGTCGCCCGAAGCAGGAGACCCGGGAGGAGGCGGCCCCAGCATAGACAGGCCTTTCAGCTCTGACCTTTTGATTCTGCCCTTATTAGCTGGAGAAGTTAACTCCAAATTCCCCTGTGGGTACTGGGTAACACGCCCAACTGCGACCATTTACGGTCGCCTCGGAAGTGATGATGGATGGTGATGGGAAGGAAGCCTTTTCCTACAGTTTTTTCATCACCCTTGCACGTGACTCGCTGACCAAGGGGTTAATGAAATACATTCTGTGCCCAGGAACTTGATCCTCAATTTGGGACTCTTCGCTGCAGGCGTTTGGCTGGCCAGGAACTTGAGTGACATTGATCTAATGGCACCTCAGCCAGGGGTGTAGCCAATAGGTAAGCACTTAACCACTTCTCTGCCTGTCTTAGGAGTTCGTGGGGCTGAGAGAAGCAATAATTTTGTCAACTGTTCCGCCAGAGGAAAGAGACTTGATGTAAAAACCCACGGCTCTCCTGTGTTTCTCGATGTTCAGGGGATTTGAATCTTTCAGCAACTGTGTGCCATTTCTAACGCCACCTGTTGTCATCTGATTGCAGACAAATGAAATTCCTACACTGTACCCAAACCTTCCAAAACCAGAACCTACAGTCTGTGACCAGAACAAGATATGCTTTGAAGGCAGCTGAAGTTGATTCACAGGGGCTCTTTCTCTTCCCTTCTTGAACTGCATTCTCTGCTTAGCAGCCGGCCTCAGCTAGACTGTTGCCTCTGATCTGTAAAGTTCTGTACATAGCCTGTTTCTGGAGGGGGCAGTCATTGCTGTGTCCTAAGGAGCACTCATGGCGCTTTAACAAGTATTTGAAATAAAGACTGTACACAAAGACAGCACTTCATTCTTTTAATAAGAAACTTCTGCTTACAAAACAAGGTGTAAAAAGTCAAGATTTACAAAAATCATAAAAACATGACTTATTTTTCACACTCGACAGACAGGAACAAGTGCCAACATGGATTGTAATGAGGTGGGTTGCCTCATTTTAAACAAACAAAAAAAAATAGACACTGGGACCACCCACACTACACTGACACTAACATAACAGGAAGCTTATTCTTGAGGAATGTCTACTGTTGACCGGTAAAGGGGGAGAAGCCATTTGGTGTTGCATAGCATTTGAGTGCACCAGGTGGGTTTTCCAGGCACCAGAGAGGCATTGTTGCTGGGAAAAAATGAGGCTTGGTGGCAGAAAGGGCCATGTAGGTGGAGCAAGCTAGAAGCAAGCATGGCAGTGGGCACTAAAGTGACACTGCTGAGGAAGCTGCTGCTTTCACGCGGAGAAGTGTTCTGACCCTACAGTCTATGGTCATGCCACCAGACGGGCATGGGGATCTTTGGAAATGAAATATTTCAAGAACTGGCATGGAAAGCTCACGTGGCCACAGAGATGTAAGTACAAAAGGTTCTTTGCAATAATTTTTCTTTAGTCAGTTTATTAGCATTTAGAAATATACTGCTTTTATGGGCCAGGTCTATGGATTGGTGTAGCATTGAGGACATGAATCTGAAAAGTGATGAGTGTAACTGGACCTCAGTGGCCTGTCACAGCTGACAGGTGTTGTCTGACAGTTTATTCACTAAAGGTAAACAGGACAGAACAGTCTTGATCCCTCTGGCATAAATCTGATTAGGAAAGCTGACTGAGTGCTGGGGGTGTCATTCAGTGGCAGTGTGTGCTCCGAGTGTTGGACTCCCAGTACAGGAGAAGGAACGAGTAAAGCTCTTTGAGAATGATTCTTTTTATATGTTAAAAAAAGCACCAGGATTTTTTCTTTTTTCTTTTTTTTCCTTTTTTTAGTTTTTTGAGACAAGGTTTTACTGTGTAGTTCAGGCTGGCGGTGAACTATGTGCTCCAGGTTGGCCTCAAACTCTCAGCCATCCTCCTATCTCGGCCTCCTGAGAGCTGGGATTACAGGGTTATGCCACCACACCCTGTTGTCTTTTGAATATCAAGATAGGTCCTGTCTGGTAAGAGTAACAAATTATGAGCTTTAGAGTCTATGTTCTGGGATCACAGATACTCTGCAAGTTTTGGCTTAACTGATTATTAAGATGAATAGTGCATGAGAACAAAGCTTAGGTTTGAAGCCATCATAGCCAAGTAGTGACGAAGAGAGATTTTTAAGCCATCACATAGATGCTAAACCCCATCTGGCTGGTATCAGGCCACTGCTAAGACCAAAAATTCCAGCACCTCCTGGTCCTCATAGGAATGAGTTATATCCTTAGTCTCCTACCCAGTGTCATAATTGTGTATGTGTCTTTTTTCTTTTTGAGACAGAGTCTTGCTATGCAGTTCAGGCTGGTGTTGAGCTCACTTTGTAGCCCAGGCTGGCCTCAGACTTATGGTGATTCTCCTGCCTCAGCCTCCCAAACAGTGAGATTACAAGCACGCACCGCCATGCCTAGTTTTCCACTCAGAATTTAATGTTTAGTGTCAAGTACTTGTATTTACTGTTGGTTAGTTTTTAAAGCCATAATGCTGGCTGGGCAAGGTTTCATTTAAACTGGCTTACTTCTTCAGAGTGATAACAATTTACTAAGTCAACCATATGTATAATTTCAAAATAAATTTTTAAAAAATTTTTATATATATATATATTTTTGAGACATTGTTTCACCCTACAGTCCAGGCAGGCCTCAGACTTGTGACCTTTCTCCTACCTCAGCCTCCTGAGTCATTGGAGGACAGCAGTTCTGTGAAGGAAAGTGCTGGCTTTCATCTTTGCCAATACAACATTTTTAAGGGAAGTCATTTTTTTTTAATTAATTAATTTATTTATTTATTTTTGAGACAGGGTCTTACTATGCAGTTCAGGCTGGCCTCAAACTCACAGTGATCCTCCTTCTGCCTCAGCCTTCCGAGTGCTGCGATTACGGACGCATGTGCCAGCATGCCCGGCTCTGGGAAGTCCATTTTAAATCCTGTCACACTTTTCAGTCCTACCTGGTTAACACAAAATCCTCCAAAAAATCTCTAGCTAGTTGGACTTCGTTTTGTTTTGTTTTGTCTTTTTGAGACACGGTTTCGCTATGCAGTTCAGGCTGGCCTTGAGCTCACTTTGTAGCCTAGGCTGGTCTCAAACTCAGAATGATCCTCCTGCCTCAGCCTCTCAAGTGCTGGGATTACACGTGTGCTACCACACCTGGCTTGGACTTTATTTTTTTACTTGCTGGTGTGTATGTTGTGTTTGTAATGCCGGGCACTGGACAAGGGCTTCACATATGCTAAGCAAGCACTCTAGCTCAGTGGATTTTTTTTTTTTTTGGTTTGTTTTAGACAGGGTCTTGCTATGCAGTTCAGGCTGGCCGTGAGGTCACTTTGTAGCCCAGGCTGGCCCCGAACTCGAAACGATCCTCCTGCCTCAACCTCCCACATGCTGGGATTACAGGCGTGCGCCACCACGCCCAGCAGCTCACTGGATTTTAAATGAAACACCAGTTTAAGTATGGAAAGAGCCCACACTGACAGCTCACTTCAATGCTGCAGGAGCTATGATGCAATTAGAATGATTGTAGGTTGAAAGAGTACATAAAGGTTAAAGCCACAGCCCTAGACCAAGGAATGGTTATTAAACGTGTAAGATACAAACTAACCTCACAGTCTTAATTAGAAGGCGCTTTCTTAATGCTGATTTACTGGGTAAAAATTAAGTGGCAATGAGTTTTACCCCAGAGACAGAATTCTCTGCTTAACGTGTCCAGTAACCAGGCTGAGGGGCCCAGTTATCAAGTGTGCTTAGAAAAGTGAACTTTGGTGAAGTCTCATGAGCTCAGTGGAAACCTTGTTTGGATGGATAAAAGAACAGGCCTTAAGGCCTTCTGCAGCCACTCTGACCAGCCCAGTCAGCGCCTGCCCTGGGACAGGGCACACAGAGTGGCCAGGGGCTTCTCTTTTCTGTCAGTCCTTTTGCATATTACATAATGCACGGGCTTGCCTTACAATAGGAAGGTTCACACAGGGGGGTTGTTTCCACACCGCTTCCTGGTATCTTGTGCAAAAGAACTTAGAACCGATGAAGGGACCACATCAGGAGGGACCACTTTGTTTGACTTCTACTGTAAGCTGCCCAGTATCAGTCGTTTTGATAAAACTAAAAGGCCTTTTTGGTCATTTGTGCTCTCCAACTGGCAGGAAAAGCAACCCTTCCACTCCTAAGCTATAACCCTGGACAGGGACACAGTACACATTAGGAAGGGGCAGCCTTCCAGCCTGATGTGACAAGGCCAGCGTTAACGCTTGGAACATACAGGGGAGAGGAACAGCAGCAGGGCACACAGTCTGCCTTGAAAGACAGCTATTTGATGAGTAATCACAAATAGACAATTTGGACACTACACTAACATTTCAGAACTTGCTGGTAAGAATAATTTGCACTCACACGAGATACAAAATGCTTTAAAAAGTCTGATACTAAATGTCCTTTAAACACTACATAGACCCATTTGCAACTTGAAATGACAAAGAATCCTTTCCCTTAATCTTTCCAATTCATGCAAACCATAATTGAGTACAAGGCACCAAATTTTATGAATTGTATAAAATTAGTTCACAAAGCTTTATCAATAAAACGAACTCCCTTTCTCCCTCCTTGGCTGCCCCCCACCCCTCCCTAGCCCCCCACCCCCAACCAAGTTTTCCTTCCACACTACTGTCACCTCTCTTGGGCTCATGCTAGGGGACACCCCACTGCCAGCCAGGCCACCACACGGGTCCTTCCTTTGTACTTGGATGGAGCTACAAGCACGGCCAGAGCAGGGAACTGATACAATCATTGACTCTAGAAGCCTCACAGTTAAAAACAAAAATAAACTCTGCTCTTGAGTCCATAGGACACATTAACACTTGTACAGTTTCTCCTTTTATTCGTGACATTTGAAGAGATGTCTGGAAATTCTTTACAGTGTGGCACTGCCCTTGCCCCAGCCCGGGAGGGGCTGGACCAAGAGCCACACTGCCACCACCGAGGGCGTACCTAAGTTTTCACGCTGGCACGGGTGCTGCTGTCAGGCAAGCACTACTCTGAGGGTCGGGCTGGACTGAGGTAAGAAATTGCTGAGGACCAGGGTGCATTCATCTCAGCTCGCTAGGGCAGCAAGTAAACACACCAGCCAATGGGCAAGGGTTCCTGAAGCGGGACTTTCATTACACGCCTGGGAGAGAAGCAGGCCCCTGAAGATTCAGCAGATCTTGGGCTTCATTTGGCAGCAGCTAATCAACTTGTACCTGTTCTGGTTTTTATTCTCTTTAGAATGTTTTAATATAAGATGCAACTGAGACATGCATCTACTTCCAATGTGTAAATAAAGGCAATGGGACATTTCCCTCACAAAGGCCACTGGCTCAAGCAGCGGTCAACTTTTCTGTTACAAAAATCTCCCTAAGTGCTCACTTAATAGCAACATCCAGTGCTGCTGCTTCTGGTACCTGAGGGCAGGCTGCAGGGGCCACCCACAAGGGTGTAGTCAGGGGACTCAGATATTCGTTTCTGTTCCAACTCGCTGTAAGTGGTTTTATCAGTTTCATACAGGGGTGCTCTGCTGTATTAAGCACTTACTTTACAAAATCCTTAACCTGCTTAATAATCCCTATAGTATTTGGTATAAAACTATTTTTAAAAATTAAATTTGAAGATATTTAATTACTGTTTTTATGATAATAAGTATTTCCCCCTGGGCAGGTGCAGGGGTGAGGCAGGTGCTCTATTAATTCTTCTCTATCTTGGAGGTTCTCGTTCTAGAATTATAAACAGGATTCACGATGAGGCACGATTTGCAGTTTCCTTTCCACTCTCCCTTATGTTCATGGGCTCTCCTAGCACGAGTCATCGCCAGCCAAAGCAACCTAGAAACGCGGTGGGAGTGCAGGGCAGCAGCTGTGACACTTTAAAACAGTGTCCAGGAGAGGGCGACCCTAAGCAGCACTTACACAAAGAAGGCTGCAGCAGACAATATAAACCCAGCAGCATAAAAATGCCATACGCTATCGCTTCCAAATAAAAGCTGATATTACAGAAACCTCACAGTGTTGGAGAAAGCAAGTTTAATTTAAAACACAGTCACTCCTTCCCTATCAGGGTGAGCCATTTTCTGTCTGAATTTCCTCCATGCCTCAGTGCTGTCTGGCAGGTCCCATGGCAGTTCATCGCAAAAGAGGTCAACAGCAAATGCTACGATCTGTTAGGGAAATGCGGCTCGTTAGCACTGCTGAAGCTGTAACCCTTGTCCACTAGCCTCACTTCCCCACTTCCCAGCCCTCCCGAGCTCCCTTTTATACCTGTCTCCTTTACACCTGCCTCCATCTGAATTCAGACATTAAGGTGATACATCTTTCCAAAGGCAGCCGGCTTGCTGCAGTGCACTGCAGTGACTGGGGCCGGCCTCACCATGCCCAGCGAAGCTGAGTGACAGGAGGCTGGAGCCTGACGGCAAGGAAGGTTTTGTCTAGGCAACCTCACTCCATTCAGGATGGACCCGATTTAAAAAGGAAAGTATTTTCCTGGCACCGGAGTACAGGGTGGACACTCTTCCTTCTTTTCTGAGGGCACTGAGGACAGGTGGGCACAGCACAGTAGGGAGGAGGAACTTTGGGGAGAAAATAAGCCAGGGCCATCAGCAATAAGGTAGACACCTATGGGTAGATTCCTAAGCAATTTCCACATCCCCAGGAAGCAAAAGCTCCCAAATCTTATAGCACCAGTGTTCTTGCTTTCAAGTGCAAGCAGGAAATGCTGGGCTGGAGAAGCCACACGCACACACAAGGTAGGAACAGGCATAGGTGGGAGGGGCTCGCCCACCCTCTGCACCCTCCAAAATCCTCAGACTGCCAACCTCCAGGCAGGTGTAAACGGGACCTTTAGCATGCCCTAGACCTGAGCCAGGGACCTGCTGCACAGCTGAGATAGCCACTAGTGACTTTTAGCTCAGCGTGCAATACAGAACACACTCTAGCCCTTCAATTCCTCCTATGAACTGTCACAAGTGTGGAGCAATCGATGGCAGCAGCAGGCAGGCAGGGTATGACACACAAAAACCCTCGCTCTGCACCTCTCCTTCCCCTAGGCTGCTAGCCCCAAGAGAATTACCCTGCAAGTTCTCAACCCTTGAAGGATACTTCTTTTGTGGGAACAAACCCTTAAACTTCGCCTCCCACCTTGAAACCGACCCCCTCCAGCACCCTGCCTTCCAGGCCCCACCTCAAGGGCGCTCTTCCTGCACTGCAGGCAAGGCCTGAGTAGCAGGGGATGCAGAATGAAGAGAAGCCCTGCCGTCTTCCCAGCTGGACGGTCAACTTACCCCTCTTTTCTCCACCCGGGTCCCTCTCTATTCAGAAGCAACTGATAAAACGCTCTTCATAGAAGTCACTCCTTTTGTTTCACAAAAGGAGGACACTTCCAAATGCATTAAAAAAAAAGTGACTACAAATATTCTGGCAGGACACGAGTCACTTGGCACCTTCTACTCTAGACCCAGTGTGGCAAACCTAGCAATCTGTTCCTGCAGTAACCCTTCCGTCCTACGCAAGGACAGATGAACGGACACCAACAGATGGACAACCAGCCAGTCTGTGATGCTGCCTTGGCTCAGGGGAGGCTCTGAGGTCGGCCTTCGTCCTTGTTGCTGGGCTGCACCTGAGCTCGGAGTTGGGTTTCTGAGATTCTTGAATTGCCCTGCACTGTTCTTTGAGTGTAAAAAAGTATGTAGGCCTGGGTTTTGCACACCTCCTCGACACTGCATACATTCAGCTTTGAGTCATTGCAGTGGACCCAAAAACCTAGGAGACCAAAGGAGAGAAAGAGAAAATGACTACCCAATGCACACTTCCAGTGAGATACAGAACCAGGAGTGCAGAAAGGCCCAGAGGCCCCTTTGATTCCTGGTTGCAAGGGAAGGGACAGGTGAATGGAACCAAGCCTCCCTGCAACCACAGGCTGTAACCCCACCACACCCAACACCAACACTGATGGGCTAACTTCTGTCTCATTTTACTCAGGCTCTTCCACTGTCCATTAGAGCCTTCTGCAGAGCCAGTCAGGATATTGGGCACTGAGCAGTGGGACAGGAGGAAAGGAGTAGAAACAGAAGGGAAGGATACAGGAAACGTTCTAAGATGAGAGTCTGTTCACAGCTGAGGGGCTCAAGGTGGGGCGCTGCTGAAACCACATCTGCTGCCCACCTGACACAGGGCAGTAGCAGGAGGGTCCACCTGGGGACCCTTGCATCTCCACACTTCCCTGGGTACAGGAGGCAGTGAGGACGCAGGAAGTGCCCAGCCATGTCCCCAGCTTTATTATGAGTTAGGCTGGTGAGAGTCACAGCATAGCTGCATGAGGTTACACAGGTCCCACTGTTTGTGCACAACCAAGAAGGAAGCCGGGGTCTAGCATTACCAGAGCAACCATGACAATACTGCCAATAACCAGCACTATGGGTAACACTGTAATAACCCCACGCCGGCCAAGCAAGCACAATGTGCTCCGCACTGCCCCAAGCACTTCTACATGTGTCAGTTCCTTTGAGTCCTTAGAACAAGCTCATGTTAGTAGGTGGCACAGATAGAAAATATGAAGCCAACTTTCATAATTCTTTCCACCTGGCTTTACTGTATGTAATTTCCCCCCAAGTGGCCCCTGGGATGGAAATAAGATGAAAGCCATAAAATGTGGACAGACCAACCCTCTTCCGTGTCCCCAGCCCACAGAGCAAAGCGCACGCACCTCCCTCTGTGTTGTAGCAATAGGCTGTGTAGTGTCCTGAGCCAAACCCTTTCCCGTGATGCATGACCACTGCGGAGAGATCATAGGCAAAGGTCTCTTTGTCAAGAGAGGAGAGCATGTCCCTGCAGCAGTAAGGTTCCATGGTTAATACCTGCTCAAAGGCGACATGGACCCCAATCTTCTCGCGGTGATTACGGCCAGACCACCTAGAACATGGGCACAAACTTCTTACTAAAGAAAACTGGCACGCGCAGTCATAGGAGAGTGAGGCACAATGGAGAGCTGGTGGTTTTGCTTTCCCATCAAAACCTGGTAGTTATCAATGTCCACACAGATTTGGTGTGACTCTGAACTTAGAAACGACTTAACAAGCAACTTAGGCACCAGTCTTTTCAGAGCTTGCTGCCTGCCCTTTTTCCCACATTATTTTATACTTCATCCTGAAGAAGGATCCACATGAGCCCAATCAAGGCTGGAGGCTTTGCGAGCAGACAGTAGTGCAGGCCAGACAAGGAGATGGCCACAGTGTAGAAGGCAGCTTGCTTTGCTGGGCGGGAACCACTCACTCTCTCAGGGGAATGGGCTCCTCCCAGCACAGAGGACAACACCTGCCCTCTCCAAGCCTTTGAGACGACCACCCCACAGCTCACAGCCCAGGGACTCCCAGCACATGCTCACCTGAATCTCTTAAGGTGCAGCCGGAGGACCTGAGGTAGTGTGTAGATCATTAACTGCTTTCTAGCTTCGCTCAGAACAAGGGGTTTGGGGTTGGATTTTCGCCGCTTGCCTATATGGTTTGGAAGGCATAAGACAGAGGTTGTGAGGAGTCTCATTCTTTCCCCACGATGGCAGACAACGACCTGCCGCTCTATGCATCCCCTCATGTCTCAGGACTTGAACCTCTATGTTACCGGAGGCAGCAATGTGGCCCAGCTTCACAGGCCTGCATGGTGTGGCTCTGGAGTTCTGGCTAGGATGAAAGGGATAACTGTGTGACTCTTGGGGTGGCGGCTGAAAGAGAGAGCTGACTCAGGGATAGAACCGATAGTCACTGCAACAGTGTGACAGAGTTGACTATACCGAGGCTGTACGCTTTTCTACACTGATAACTGAAATCGTGATGCACTGCAACTTTAAAAGGCTTTCTGTTTTCACTAGATAGCTCTAACTCCATTTCCTGCTCACAGCAGGTTTTGTGCTAAATAAGTTATTCAAAACTCTGAACCTCAGTTTCCTCATTAGTAGAATGGGGAATAATGCATGTATTCAAGGCTTAGGCAAAAGATCAAAAGGATAAGATTACCAAAGGACAGAATATTTAAACAGATTTTTTTCGGCATGATTTGAGCATGGCGTATACCAATTAAAAAATAAACTTTATTGGTTCTGTGATTTTATGCCACACCTAGTTTTGAAACACAGCTCTTGGACAGAAGCACAGTACCAGCCATCAGGGCAAGGCTTAGAGGCCGGCGAAGGTCATCCAGCCCAACACAGAACCGGTACTCTGGCTCATAGTTTGTTTCAAAAGCTACTGAATTGTGGAGGAAACACATTTCTGAAAGCACATCAGCAATGAAAATAAAGTCCTCTTAATCTCCACTAGAAGCCTTCTGTAAAGTGTTTACTGAGACTATAGAGGCAAGGAATGCAAACGGAAAATGAGGGGCCGGCTAACTGTCTCCGAGCTGTTGCCGTCCTGGTCTCAGCGGAGGGAGAGCCTTCCATCTGATTCCAAAGCTGGTGGCAGCGCGCAGGGAAGGTGGCAAAGCACTGCGCAGGGACAGCTCACAGCTTTCTGTGACAATAAACTGTGGAGGCGTAACCCCTCATGATGGACAGTGTGAAGCTGAGCGTGCCCCGTGGCAGTTTCCACCAGGACCTGCAGTCATGACATGTGGGGCAGGGGCAGAAGGAGCATTCAGAATGGAGGCTGGCCCTATTTCCATTCCTGTTTCCAGACTTTTGAAAATTACTGCAGCTCTGCTTGGCAAGCTGGCAGTGACTGCCACTCTCAGCAGAGGGAGTATGTGAGCTAAAGACAGAGTAGAATCTGGCTTTGTTTCCCTAAAATGAAATTCACAAAGAAAAAGAAATTACTGATTCAAGTGAGATTGATCAGTTCTGTGTCCACGTGATGAAGATGGCCACACAGAGAGGTAGAACACTTGCAATTCTGAAGCCTCAGATCAATGCATCCCATCCTCTCACCTCAGCTTTCCTTCCCTGCCACCATGTGCACCTGCCCAGAGAAATCCTGATAAACTGGCACATCTGGCAGCCAGAAAAACAATTCTTTCAAAACAAATTAAGGTATTGCTTGTCTCCTCCACCATATCCAGAATGGTAGCATTAAAGTTGTTAATGTTCTTTTGTTCCTTACAAGTACAAAGCTTTATGGGCCACCACTTAAAAAATAAAAAACAACCAAAAAATAAAAAATACAACTGCTCTATAGATAGTGCTCTAATAAAACAATTTAACTTACCTGCCTCTGTATGGCAAAATGGAACAGGACAGGTGGGTTCAAAATTAGCCAAGCACAATATTTCAAATTTGAAAATGGCAAAATGAAAAAAAAAGAAAAGAAAATGGTAAAATGCTATCAAGTATGATTTTTTTACTTTTGCACTAATTCTTCGTAGAGCAGAACAGGTTTTTCACAATTTATCATTTTAAAAGACCATGTCCCAGGCTAGGGATGCAGCTCAGTGGTAGAGCACTTGCCTAGGGTGTGTGAGTCCCTGGGTTCAATCCTCAGTACAACAACAACAACAACAACAATAACGTTTTCAAAACTTACAGTCTCAACTATTATGTGCCTCGAATTGATTTCTAGGTCTCTGCACAATCCATTAGTTATGTACTTTTAGTTTGTAAACCCTCATGAGCTTCCCTATATTTGCTCTACATTTCCTATACACCTGCTGAGTTGGCAGAAGCATAATCTGTCAGTGTGGCAAGACATAAGATGCCATATCATCAAGTGGAGAAAGCCCCAATATGGAATGAAGGCAGTGATAAAGAGATTCTTATGATGTCTCTGAAATGTGAACCTTTCAAGCATATGAAGAAACAAATGCTGAAAATAGGAAGTTGCCATTGGGCATTGTTAGACCTTCTGTGTTGGTCTTTAGCATCACTGTACTGATCTTTAGCATCGTTTCTGACAGATTTAAACCTACCAATTCGGTACAAAAATAGTGCTGTTCCAATACCACAGCTCTCAAAGAGGCTATGTCACCTGAATTCAGATTACAAAAGAACTGCTACATTCTACCAGGACATTCATGAATTTAATCAGGATCCCTGTAGCACTCTGAAGCTAAGCACTAACATCCCCAGAGCCCCTCTTTCGGGATCCACTTCCAAATAAATCAAGATGACAACTAATGCCAACTGTGAGGAATAAATGGAGGCACACCTTCTAGGCTTTTATTTTTAATACAAAAAGTCCATATTACTTATTCTCAGAAAACATAAGGGGATGTTTAAACAATGGATTATGATCATTCACTATTATCAGTGTTACTTTTGACCAAAGGGGCAAAAGAAGTACCTTAAACTGCTATTCGCATTGTACCCTCCCAAATCCTCCACAGAGCACTCACTGTTACACTGGTCGCAAGCGTAGATTCTCCCTTCCAGGGCCTCCGTCTCAGTGAACTTGGCCAGCATCTCAGTAAGCAGGCACTCTGTCTGATTCAAAGGGACAAATCCCTTCTCTATGCAGTGATAGCGCTCAGGGAATTCCAGGGACAGATCCCAAAAGGGCTCAATGGTATTGGATTTGTAATTGCATGATATACATGTGACCTACAAGGAAAAGATTATAGATTATATGATTTTTATGGTTCTGTTATACATTTCTACTTGTTTTGTACAGCAAGATAACTACCAAGACCAAATATAAATTTTCAAAAAATAAAATATAATATTAAAAAATAAACAGAACTTTAATGAAAAGAACTAGAACAGATGACATCTGGTATACATTTCTAACTACTACGTGGTACACAGCTGAACTATGTGTTACACTAGTGTTACCCAGCTCAACTCCAGAGCAGAGACTCCCCCTGGCACTGTCTTGCTCGGCTCCCACAGCAGCTCTTCCCACCCAGCACACAGGCTGCAGGCAACTGTGGAGGCGTCCAAGCTGTCAGTCTAGACGCAGAATTTGTAGCTGTTGTCTGCATCTCGCACCCTCGTATTTCCCCTTTTGACTTTGGTTCTTCTGTGCAGTCAACTTGCATCTCTTTTGCCCTGTTCCTTGCTCCACCCCTACCCAATGTCTGTCCACACAGTTTGACAGTAATGACCAGATATTCTCTCCCACTTTACCCTCCCAGATGCATTTCACATGCTTTTAGAAAGCCCCAGTGAACTCTTTTCCCATCTCACTCAATAGTCATTCAAACCTCTGAATCGAAGACACAAAACCACAATAACTCAGTGCAGAAGTTTTGCCTGAATCTCCTAAATCCCAATTTATGCAGATTCTTACTGTATGTTCTCACAAGGCCTCATCTATGCACCTTCGCTTAGGTCCCTATATGGCTAAAGACCCGGGAAATAAAAGGCAATGAGGAACAGGGAAGAGGCCTGCCGAGGTCTTCAGCATGCTCTCAGCCATCTCTCCTCTTGAGGGATAAAGAAGCAAGAATGCTCTTTCAAACTACCATGGAACCAGGGTTAGGGGCAGACCCTATTCAGTTTCCCACAAGTGCTCACAGAATGGAAGGGCAGCCATGCGTACTTCATGATAACAAAGCGCACACTGGGTTACCCAGGTCTTCACTGACAGTAATCTGACCAGAAAGAGCGGCCAAGCTCTCCAATAAGGCTAGCACTGCAACACGATGACAGGCACGACGGCCGCCTTCAATTCTGGCTAACCTAGCTGGCCCTGGGTGGCACACACCTACCTGGCTGAGCAGCTGCCCGTGGAAGATGGTGTTCACCACCTTTAAGACCTGCTTGGTGAGCTTCCTCTGGGAGAAGGGAATGAGGATCCGGCGCGTAGAACCCTCGGCCTCGAGCTCCTGCTGCACCTTGTGTAGCAGCTCGCACAGAAACTCCTGCGCGTCCTGCTGGTCGTAGCCTCGGAAGGCAGGGATGAGGCTCCACACGGAATGCAGCATGGCAAAGGGCGACACCAGGGCCCAACGACCGGACCACATGACTCGGAAGAGTGTGTGCAGCTCATGGCAAAGCGAGATGTGCTTGGAGCTGGGCTCCTTGTTCTGGATGAGCTCCAGGCTCCTGCTGAGAGAGGCCCCACCGTTCCAGCAGAGGTTGTGGCGCCCGCAAGCCTGGGCTCGGTCGCTCCTGACCTGCGGCTCCGGGGCTGAGAGCCGGGCCTTGCGGTGCGCGGCGTGGGCGAACAAGTGCTCGGTGGTGCAGGGGTCGAGGTTCAGGAAGCACTCGCGGAACTTGCGGAGGTGGCTGAGCACCTGCAGGATGGAGTTCATGTAGCAGGTATTGCCCAGGTTCCGCAGGCCAGTGACGCCCGGGGCCACGGCGGGCTGGCGACGCAACTTGAGCGCGGGAGGCGCGGGCGCGGGTACGGTGGGGCGCGGCGTGTGCAGCAGCAGGCGTGCACTTTTGCGCGGGGGCGCGCTCGCCAGCTCCTCCAGCAGCCGCCGCTTTTCCTCCCG